TACCAATAAACTCCATTTTTCATGAGCTTTCATTTGGTATAAAATTCATCATAACTTCTATTTGAAATTAAAGCGGTACCCCCCTTGAATAATATTATTTCCCACCCTGTACTTAAACAAGTGAATTATCGCAAGATCAGTGTCACTATATGCTGGTGCGATTTCGAGAAGATATGGAATAAATGCATAAATACCTGTGCTCAATCAACTTACAAGCAGAAACGTCAGTATTAGATTTTCAATTAAGATAGAAGATTAGTATTTCATCGACTTTGGATAATTGATACGAGATTGATTTAAATTAAATAGATGCTCTCATTTTAATACTAGATATCTGAAAAATGAAGTGAAACAACAATGATGAAAAAAGAAGTTACAACAGATTTACTTTTTATCTTTAGAAAAAAATAAATATTTACAATAATACTATCAATCATGCATGTCAGCTTAATTTTAACAGATATCAAATCAATAGTTTAACATAATTAGAAGCTGACAACGTATCTATCTTGAGAGTGTAGGTGTGTGGAGTATACCATGATACCGATTTCGACGTTTTTCAGAGAATGTTAATTTGTTTGGTATATGTTTTGTGCTGTCTCATTGGTGTTGTAATTTTTATCATGGAATAGAATTGTGCGGTTTAGTGAGATGTATTCGGTTTGTGTTACTTTTTTTGATTGTTTGTTGGTATAATGATCTTCATATGTATGTGCGTGTTAGTGGTTCAAAACTATCTAAACAAAATCCGTTATTTTACTATCTAGTAGTTAAAATGAATGAAAGAAATTATTAGAAAAGTTTTTATTAAATGGTTTATGAGAACATGAAAACAGAAAAATAGAAATTCTTTTTGTATAATGTGATAGTGAGCGCAAGTTTTAAGTCGAGGTTTGAAATCTCGTTCAGAAGCTCTGGCAACGAGAGGGCGCCAGATCGAATTTTATTGTATAGATCATGTTAGCAACCGCATGGACGGGGAGATCAAAATCAAAGATTATTGCTTGATTTCCCTAGCAATGAGAGAATGTTTAGGTTATTCTGAAACTCTCTAGATTCTAACTATTCTAAATATTGTGGGGATGGAAGTGTTAATGTAACACAAGCATCTCATTGTAGGTGTCAATCCACAAAGTGATAAAATAATTAGTCTAGTTAAGTCAGAATAGGGAAGCATCAAAAAGTATAGACTTATCCATTTAAGTGTAGGCTAAACTCAACAGTGTACGTCAAAGATCATGAAGCGAAAGGAAGGTAGACTCATAGGTTTACTGAACGATTAACTCGTTGTGTATAACAGGTCAATATGGTAATTAAACCAATAAAACGAAGAGTAAATTGATATTTATCATTTCTTATGCCAACCGTTGTATATATTATAAAGACAATATTTTTTAAATAGCAAAGTTTCAAAGCCTGCATATTAAGTATAAAAATAATTATAGCTTTGTGTCATTAATTTATTTGATATTTTTTAAAATAAAACTTTATATTTTCGTTGGTTAGAAAATAATTTATATCATTTTACATTTCAACAAGGAGAAGAATAACCAATTCAAAGACTAAAAAAACATTTAGATTATCATTGGCATAAAAGTAAAATTGTTAGCATAAACACTTTTTTGTACTAATCGAACATAACGCATAGAGGAGAGAAAGAAAGAGAACATTATTCCACGTGTATATATATGTTGAAGGGCTCCTCCAACATATATATATTCGTTTTCACTATTCTTGATCAGTATTATCGTTATTTCTTATTGTAAACATGGAACAAATAAAACGACAATTAGACGACACGGTTTATAATAATAATAATAATAACAACAAAAAACAAAAATTATTAGTAACAACAAATAAGTCAGTCATTTTAATATCTATTTTATAATCTAGAATAATTATTTAATTTAGATTTCATTTTGAAATTTTAGCAAATGAAATAATTTATGAAATATTTGAATATCTTGATGTTTACGATATTTATTATGGATTCTATTATCTTAATAATCGATTTAAAAACTTAATTATTAATTCACATCATCCTTTTCAAGTAAATATTTCAACAATATCAAAATCAAATTTTGAATTTTATCATGAAAATATGATTAAACCAAATAAACATCGAATAAAAATTCTTCGTTTATCCAATGCATTTACTGTTGATATTATTTTTTCACCACCACGTATTATTTGTGATTTTATTCAACTTGAAAAATTAATTTTTGATAATATCAATTCAAAATATCTTAATAACATTCTTAAACATTTAATTCATTTACCAAAATTACATTCATTAATTCTTTCTATTGATTATATTCAAAATCCAAATATCATTTTTATTCATATACTTCGTTTAACAAAATTAAAATATTTTAAAATAAAATATAATGAAAGCGTATTACCGATAGATTTTGATGAATGTAAACAAAGTTCTATTGAATATCTTATAATTGATAGTCCTTTTCGATATGAATCATTTAATAAATTATTAATTTGTCTTCCCAAACTTCGTTATTTAGTAATTAATTATCTTATTGGATCGAATTATTCTGAGATAGATTTTAATCCAATTATATTAAAAGATTTAAAATATATCTCGTTTGGAATTTATTCGATTAATTTCTATCAATTTAAAAAGTTAATAAAAAACTTTTTTAATTCTATTGAAATTTTACATATTTCAACATATAATAATTCAACATATTCACATGCAGAACAATGGGAAGAATTAATTTCATTTTCAATGCCAAATTTACGTATTTTTGATATACAAAATCATTATACTGAAGCAATAGATCAATTCTTGTATCTTTGTTTAAGTGGTCAATTTGAATCAAAGTTTTGGACTGAAAAACAATGGTTTTTCGAACATCAACATGATTACCACGAAAGTTCAAATAATGGAATTTTTTTTTCAACAAATCCATATCGGTAAAAACACATGAATTAAATTTTTTTTTTTTTTAAGAAAAAAACAATTTCATAGCTATGAATGCGTGTCTAACAAAAGTCGGGATGTGAATTTAGATTTTTCCTGATGATAGGACAAGAGGATGGACAGCTTGTTAACCTGTGCTTTATAAAATAATAATCAGGATGAAAGATTAACAAGTACATTTACGTAGCAATGAAGAGAAGACAATTGATAACCAGTAGATTGATATGAGAAACGACTTCAGAAATATGTTCTCAGAATGACTGAAATCTAAAGGTTATTAGATACATTTTCATAGCAATAAGAATTATTGATTCTCTATTTACATTGCGTTGTCACTAGAATAAGAGTTCAAGACTAGAATGAAGAAAAAAAACGTTGATCCCGCATATCTTTAGTTATCACTTAAAGTAATATTAAAATAATAAAATTTCGTTGAATGAATATTTTTGTTTAAAAGATCTCGAAAACAAATAATAAAATGAATAAATTTTCTTTGAGTATCATCTAAATTTATAAAACTATAAAAATAATATTGAAACAATTTTCGACTAAATTATATCTTCATTCATGGAACATTTATATTTGAGATTTTAGTTCAAAAGAAAATTTGTTGATGAAATTTTTACATTTATTGATTTATTTTAGAAGAAAAGATCATACATTTTATTGGCAATTTGATCACAATAATAATTTACATTCTCAAAAAACTAATTTCAAATCAGTTAAACATATTTATATTTGTGGTAAACGAGCTATAAACAATTCTGTTATTTATTTTCCAAATGTAACTGAATTAACAATTAAAAATTATAGTAGAACATATTATGGTTCAATTTTAACAGCTCTTAATCAAATTATTTCTTTAAAACAATTGAACAAATTGATTATTGATTGTAATGATTTTCCAATTAAAGAATTTATGAATTTAATAAATTCTACACCTAATTTATGTACATTAAAATGGAATTTTCAATCGATTGATGAAACAAAATCAAAATTAATTCAACAAAGTGAAATTTTTCGATCTATATCAAATACAAATAAAATTCAAAATTTAGAAATTTTTAATTGTTGTTCGTTAGAAGAAATTTATTTTGTTGTTAATTTATTTCCAAAATTAGAATATCTTAAAACTGGAATATATAGAAAAGAAATCGTTCCAATTACGCGATGTATCTTATTAAAAATGCATCATTTATTTTACTTATGTATTACAGATATGTCGAAAACATGTTTACAAAAATTAAATATTTTAATTAAATCAGAAAATTTACTCGATGATTATTTTATTAAATTTGTTGATCATAACTTGTATTTATGGTGGTAAAGACTTAAGAGTTATTTAGGATGTATTTTATTGTTTTATATATAATTAGTTATTACTTTTAAATAAACAAGAGTTAAAGATTTATCTTTAACTCAATTGTCACTAATGAAGCGTCAGTATATTTTTATAAAATAATATAACAGTTGAGTCTCTATAGAAAAAAGTCAATGTAAAAGTTCTTTATTCTTTTATAAGATGTGAATCAAATTTGTCTAGATAGAATATGTTTGATCATTTTTTGCAAGTATAATTTCTAATTTATTAGTCAAAATTGAATTTTCAACTTATTTTGTTTTGACAACGTTGTATTGATTCGTAGGTTAATGGATTAATAAGAACTGAATCGAAAGTACAAGTTAATATTTCGAATGGATGATGGTACAGATTTAGGCTTATCAAATTAAAATTTCAGAAATCAGGAGATTTTCTATTTGAAGTTGAAGAAGCATCTGGTAATATTTCTCAGAGAAAATTCAAATTGTCTCATATAAATGCTTTTATCTCTTATGTATCAATTTCATGAACAATAATTTAATACAACTACAGTAAAACTTCTGTATAGTGAACACCAACGGGACCCTCCAAAAAGTGTTCACTAAAGGAGGTGTTCATTATATGGCGGTTTTTCATCGACTGCACTCTTGCGTGTATGCAATGCATAGCTAGTATGCACGACTCATGACTACGCACATCTTATCAGCAGCGAGCCAACCAAGAAC